GTTGCTGGAAAAACAATGCGGCTGCTTCTTTATCAGTGATGCCAGAATCACTGGAAAGACATATATTAAGATAAAAGTAGAGAAGTTCGTCTTTTTTTTTTTTTTTACAAATTATGTCAGATATTTGGACGAACATTTAGACCTAAAGCAGAATACAAATGAGTAAAAATTAAATACCATAAAATGCTAAAGTTCTTTCCGTTGAGGTAAAAATTTTTTCAAATTCCTCTTCGGTACAGTTTACTATACCGCTAGGTACAATAAGCTCGAAATTTGATTCTTTAAATAGAGCTTCTCGAGATTTCATTATAAAAAAAAAAAATAGACCAATATTGGGTTGGATGAGGATAACGATAATAAAGCAAATTCGCTTATCATTAATATAATAATATGCATACTAAGCATTTATATCACATGATTCAACCTTTTTGTGGCTGGAACGTTATCGTTATATCGTTATTCCTTTGTCTTACGTAAGGTGGAGGGTACGGGTGTTCTTAAGCATACTACATACATATATTTTGAGTATGTCGGATGGTGCTGAAATTTTGATTTACTTTATTATGAAAATTTATTTTTTTGTATAGCTAGATTAGAGTTTAGGGTTAGTGTTTATAATAAAAGAGTATAGGTGGATTTTAGTAGGGTTAATTAAGGCCCCAAATTTCAGCATCATCTCCGACAAACTATATTCATTTTTAAATATATAGTGATTTTTTTATTACATAACTATATACTTTAAAATTTGGCAATTGCTAATTTTCACCGGGGTGCTATATCTCAAAAACGTACGTACGTACGTATGCACTAGCTAACACAATGATGATGTTTTGCAGGGTTGTTAGTGGTAACCTACCGTAGTAAGGTACCATGGTAAGTTACCAGTAAGTTAACTTACCATGGTAACTTATCGGCAATTTACCGGTAACTTACGGTAATTTTTACAATGGTGATATGTTTGGACAAATATGTGGACAAGTTTCAGCAATTGGACAAAATTGTCCAAAAACTTGGCAAAACCCAAGTTTTAATTTTGGGGGGATGGCTAAAGCCATGTATCCACGTAATTTTGAGGTTTTACTTAAAATTAGGGTTGAGGCTACTTGAGTGTTAGCGTTACATTTTTATTAATGCTCCAAACTGCCGTTTTGACTTCAAAATTCGCGATTCCGATTGGTTGATTTACACAAAAAGTCACGTGGATACATGTATTCCCCCGCAGTAAAAGTATCGAATAACCCCAGCCAATAAAATTTGGGGGAAATTGGTAAAATCCCAATTAAGGAATGTTAATCAATAACAAGCAGATTGAGTCGATTAACATTTCTACTGCCAGTTCTGATACTTTAACGTCCAAAATTACTATTTTAACTATCGACGATCCATTGAGACTATTAATTGCTGATTATTTTAATGACGATACATAATTTTTACAATGAATGTTTATGATGAAATTCCAGTTCTTAAAACAAAAGTCGTAAAAGATGATGCATATCATAAAAATTATAAAGAAATGCTTAGTATGGTAGAGACGTTAAATGAACGTCTAAATTTAGCGGTTAAACAAGGCCCTAATAAAGCAATTGAAAAGCATCTTAAACGTGGTCAATTATTAGTTCGTGACAGAATCGACCTTTTATTAGATGAGGATTCACCATTTTTAGAATTATGTCCTTTAGCAGGATGGGGTCAAGATGATATGACATTAGGTGGTTCAAGTGTTGCAGGTATCGGCCTTGTTTGTGGCATAGAATGTTTAATAACTGGTAATGTTCCGACATTATTTGGGGGTTCATCTAACGAAGTCAGTGTCGCTAAGGGCGCTAGAATTAATGCTATAGCTTGGCAAAATAGATTACCTTTAATTCAATTAATTCAAACTGGAGGTAGTAAATTGGAACAGCAATTTAAAGTTTTTCACCCGGGTGGTGCTCATTTTCGAAGTTTGGCCGAGCGAACAAAAGCTGATCTTCCTACTTGTAGTATAGTATTTGGTAATTCAACAGCCGGTGGTGCATATACACCTGCTTTAACTGATTATATTATTATGGTGAAAAATCAAGCTAAAGTGTTTCTTGGTGGTCCACCACTTGTTCAATTGGCTACCGGTGAAATTGTTGATGCTGAAAGCCTCGGTGGTGCAGATATGCATAGTAGAAAATCTGGTGTTTCCGATCAGCTTGCATTGGATGAACATGACGCTATATATAAAGCTCGGGAATTCATTTCTAGACTTAATTGGGAAAAAAGAGGAAAAATTCCTCGAAGTCATCTTGCTCCAAAAATAGATGAACCTTTGTATGACATTGGTATGTTATTTTTGATTTATCATAAACATTAATATAGATGTACACTTTTTGCACTGATCTTTTTCTAAACTCATTATTATTATTTTAGATGAACTTCTTGGAATTGTGTCTGCAAATATTAGAGTGCCCTTTGATGCTAATGAAGTTATCATTCGTATAGTGGATGGATCAAGGTTTACGGCATTTAAACCTCTTTATGGGCCAAATTTAATCACTGGCTGGGCCGTTATTCACGGTATTATTGTGGCAATATTATTTAATCTCAAATATACTTTTATAGTTATATATCCAACCGTAACTTATTATGAATGTTCACATTCACAGGTTTCCAGGTGGGTATAATAGCCTCTAACAGTGTTTTATTCATTCCAGAAAGTAATAAAGCGACTCAATTTATTCGAATGTGTAACATGATGTAAGAAACTTTATTCTCATATTCATGTTATCCTACATAAAATTTAAGTCAATATATATTTTACCGTTTTAATAAAGGAATGTGCCACTCATATTTCTTCAAAACACCACGGGATTCATGGTAGGTAAGAAATATGAGGAAGAAGGGATAATAAAGGCTGGTGCACATTTTGTAAATGCTGTTAGCAACAGTCAAGTACCCGTTATTACTATTATGATGGGTGCTTCTTATGGTGCTGGAAATTATGCTATGTGCGGTAGAGCTTATAATCCAAGGTGAAACATAATTAATTTTCCGTAAAATTGATTAATTATTGTTGCAGCTGATGCTGAAAACGGCTGATGCTGAAGTTCGGACCTATTTTGATATGAAAATTTAAATTTTTTGGGGGTGTTTTTCTAGGGTTAGGTTAGGATTTAGGGTTAGAATTGATAATTAAAGAGTATATGTGAATTTTAGCAGGGTTTATATTTTCAAAATCGAGACCCAAAATTTCAGCATCAGCCATTTTCAGCATCAGCTGCGACAATTATTGTAAATCATGTATATCATGAATTTAATTTGGAAAATTTTCGACCTTTTATAATTTTATAGATTTTTGTTTTCATGGCCAAATAGCAAATGTTCAGTAATGGGTCCAGAACAATTAGCAGGAGTTCTGGATTTAATTACTCGTGAAGCCGCTGCTAGGTAAAAGCTTTTTCTTATAATAACACACATTTTTATAGGTTGTTTACTTTTCATACTGTTTAAATATTATAAATAGTGCGGGCAAAAAAATTGATGAAGTAGCAGCTGCAAGGAATAAAGCCTTTTTATCAAGTAAAGTTGAAAAAGAATCTGATGTATATTGGACAACATCAAGATTATTGGATGATGGAGTAATTGACCCAAGAATGACTAGAGTTATTTTGGGATTCTGTTTAAGTGTTGTTTATAATGAGAAAGTTGAAGGTGGTAGCTTAGGTGGTGTTAGTAGAATGTAGGCTTTATATAGATGTGGGTCAATGGTTCCACCATTATGTGTTTTGTTTATTATTTATTAATATTTGCAAGTTTTATTTATTTTATTTTTTAAAAAACTTTTCTCTAATTGAGGTTATAAAAATGCATAGTGGTTTATAAAATTAAGCCAATAGAAATAATATATATAATTTGAAATTGGAAGAGACCAAATATAGTACAAAGGACACCTACTCTATATCAATTGATTGATAATCAATTTTATTAATGGTGTTCCTTATGCTATATTTGATCCATTGGAAGAAGTTTCTTTGCAAGTCGATTTAGTATATTTATTAGACATTTATTTAGAAGAATTGCATCGAATTATCTTCAATAATAAAACATGTATGTATATTAAACCATTTATTAGTTGTTTATACATTAGACACAAAATAGACTACATAATACACACGAGAAATTAACTTAAAGTACAATTGTTGAGATATACAAAGAAATTCAATAGGAATACATTGGATTAAAAAATGGGTCGTATGAATCCCTTCGGATAACTTTAATAAATCTTCCTGCCTTTTCAAGCACTGCTTTGCTTAATTTTGAAAATTCACCCGATTCGTAACCACGTTTTATTTCCATTTCTTGGTTTTTATAAATTATTGGCCACCTGTCAAATCTAACTTCTTCTAAACTTTTATAATGCTCAGCATACTTTGTCAATATTCGCAAATGATCATCAGTAATTCCGCATTTATCATTTAATCCCAACTTTTTAAAATTCACGTTACAAATATTCAGAATTTTTCTTAATAAAGTTGATGTGATAAACATGTCGAGGTCTAGATCAGTAAGAGTCAGGGAAATGTGTAACGAATACTTGAATAAACGATTTAGATTTTACATCCTTTGATTTCAAAACCAGTGATTCCAATTTTGATAGTCCCATCCATTTATTAAATTTGTCAGATAAGATATCCATTTTATTAACGTGCAATGCTAATCTAGTAATATTTGGAGGGAATTGAATCATCGCATCCAATATTACTTTTGTATTCTCGGATGAATTGTCGAGAACAATCTCCTTTAATGTTTTTTCTGTCATCTGAAAAATTGGTTTAAAATCATGATTACTGTAAAAGATGAAG